CCCCCCCAACCCCGCGGCGGACCCCGCTTTCTGGGAAACCCTGTCACAGTTTCCTCTGACCTCTGTTAACCCGGAGTCCGCGGCCCACAGAGGGAGGCCGAGTTCCGCCTCTGACCTGAGGCTTCCTGCCGGGGGCACACACCTCCACCCCGGCTGCTGGCTGAGCGCACTCCTCCCAACTCCCCACCTTCCAGAAGGTTCTGGGCCACCTCTGCCCACATCCCTCCTGCCACACGGCATCCCCGGTTGTGGACGCGGGAAGCCTAGGCAGGGCTGCGGGGACGCAGACGAGGCAGGCGCTGACCTTTGCTGGCTGGGCGACCGTGGCCTCTTGGACCGTCGAATTGGGAAAGGGGTTGGGGCTGAATGAGGCTCCCCCCCTGGGCAGTGTCCCCTGGGGTGGGTCGTTCCTGCAGAGGTCGGCCTGGGCGCTCTGGGGGCCGAGCAGCATCCCGGGCTCCCGACCCCCTCCCCCCCATACCAGGAACACCTTGGTCATGACAACCACAGAGGTCCCCAGACACCGCCCTGTGTCTCTTGGGGGGCAGGACTGCCCTAGGTGAGACTCCCTGGGTTAGGGGCCTCCACTGACCCCCCCCCAGGAGACTGCCTTCCACGATCACGTGACCACTGAGGTCCTGGGGTCCTGCGCCCCTTTAAATGCACACACTGAGGGGCTCAGTCGCTGGAGCAGGAGCCTCGTGGTCTCGGGGTGGAGAGTTCGAGCCCCACGTGGAGCTGGCTTAAAAATAAATAATAAATATACACACACGGACGCACTGAGTGGGCGGGAGAGGGGGGAGTCACGCGGGGCTCACCCTGGCTTGCGCCGTCTGACCCCTCGGGGATCTACCCTGAGGTCTCGTGGGAGCAGGGCCCGGACTCTGCTGCTTTTCCGAATAGTTAACGGAGGGTCTCCCTCCCCTCACCCGCCGCTGGCCACCGTGGCCATTCGCGACCCTTCTCCGCGGGGCGCCCCGGGCACTACTGGGCAGCGGCCTCCCCGGCCCCACCTCCCGTGGGACAACCACAGGTGTCCCAGGCGTGGCCCTGTGGCCCCGGGTTGAGGGGCCGAGGTCATCCCCACGGAGAGCTGGGCCTGTGCCGCCCAACACCGCCCCGGGCTGCGGGTGGCACCGGCACGTGCCGGGTCGGAGATGTGCCGTGAGGGCAAAACACCTACCAGGTCCCCGAGACTTCGTGGCGGCGGGGGAGGGGAGGGGAGAATGTCAAAGACCACGCTGCTCATTGTCCCATAGCGGACACAAGGTAAAACGGTGACATTCTGCCTACAGTGGGGCCAGTCAAACAGACCCTGCAGTTACCGTCCCGTTTGTCTCCTGGGCATGAAGCGCAGCTGAGAGGTTAGATCTCCCAACCGCGTGACGTGCACGGGGCCACCGGGACCCCGCACACCTCCTTCTGCTCCGCCTTGCGGGCCCTGGGGCTCCTCACACCGGGAAGGGGACGCGGGCCACAGGGCTGGACGGAGCGGGACCGGAGGCGCAAACGCCACGGGCAAGACCCCGGCTCTCCGGGGACGTAGAGGACGGCGCGCGTGCTCGCGTGCAGTACGGCTCCTACGGAGGAAGACATCCAGCCGGAAGGAGCTTCCACACCAACGGGCCCCCCCGCTCGGGATTTTCTTCCTCCAAACCAAGCGCCAAAAACCAAAAGTGGAGAAAACACAAAACCAACGAAGGGAGCGCCCAACGCGCAAGATCCCAAAACGATTCCTTCCGTGACTGGTTTGTTTTTGGACCACGAGGTCAGACAGCGGGGGTGTCAGGGGTCACCGGCGTCGCCCCCGTGTGTCCACAGGAGCCCTGGACACGGAGGGGGTGTCCTTGTGCCGCTCCCGTACGGGCTGTGCCAAGTTCTCCAGGAGGAGCCAGGGGCCACGGCTGCGTGAACGGCTCTGTCTTGACGGGCCACGGACAGGCCTGGAAGCACCTGGACGCCACCTCCTGCCCGGACCCCCAAGCCAGCAGCTCTTAAGTGTTCGAGGAGCCTGTCCCCTTGCAACAGGGACTGTCACCAGGTCTGTCTGGCGGCCAGTGGGGACTCTGGGCGCCTGCAGGGGACATGGGTCGGGGAGGGGACACTTAGGTCCCCAAGGCTCGGGCGAGCCCCCAGCGTTCCAGGAGCCTGGTCTGGGGCAGATGGAGAAAGTGCCAGTTTCTCTGGTTTGGCCTCGGGTCACTGCAGAGGGGAGGTCTCAGGGCGGCACCCACCCCTCTGGGGTCCTGACCCTGGAGGTCGCCCCGCTTTTGCATCAGCCTCCCTCAGCTTGTCGTCGACCCTGCGGGCTTCACCCCACTGACTCCAAATCCCCCCCAAGCCCTCGGGACCCGGTCTCTCAGTCCTTGAAAAGGGCAAGCCGTTAATGGGGGCTGGCCGGCCGCAGCCGGGCTGGGCGCGTGCGACACAAGGCCACAGAGGCCGCGGGTCAGACGCCCGCTGCCCGGATGCTGACCACGTTCCCACCAGGCCCCACAGAGCGACACTGGTCGACTTCCGCTTATCTTTATTCTCCTCCCGACCAGGTGAGACTTTGGGGGATCTGCGAAGTGGAGGACCCTGAAAGCCGGTCGAAGGAGCCAGCAACCCGTCTCTCTGGTGTCCACAGGAGAGGAGGGCTCCTCCTGCGATTCCCCGAAGCTGAGTGTCGGCTCGTCCCAGCCCGCGGGCAGCGTCCAGGGGGGCCCCCGGCTCCCAGCTCCGTCTTCTCCGGGGCTCCGAGGACAGAAAGTCTCAGAAGCGGCTCCAGGGGCAGCGCGGCCAGGCCCCGACGGACGAGGAACTGGGACCACCTCCCTCTCCCAGCGGCTGCGGCTGACCCCGCGGACGGCCCGAGTGACCCGCCCTGGGCAGTCGCTCCCGAATCTGGGAAAGCGGAGGGGACGCGAGGAGCCACCTGGTCGCATCTGGCGGTGCGCAGGCTCGGGGACGGCACAGGCCTCGTCTGCTGGCTCCGCCGACAGCTTGGAAACCTGCCACATCCTTCCTGCCGGGTGCCGGCTCGCTGCCGTGAAGTCAGAAGCGTCTGTCCCCTGAGCACGGGGCGGGGCTGAGCGGGTCCCTCCTGAGGCGCAGGTCACGGGACGCTGAGTGACAAGAGGCGGTGGGGAGGGCAGAGGGGGCGACCCCACGGCCACCTCCAGGGACGGTGCTGGGCGTCGGGGGGAGGGGGTGCCCCTCCCTGTCTGGTGAAGGACGCCGGTGTCCGGAGGTCCCCTCCGAGGCCGCATCCCTTGGGAACAGAGTGAGGCCGGCTCCTGGTGCCACCCCCACCCCCTCCTCCCCCGGTGGGCGGCGGGTGGAGGGCTCCGGGCTGGCGCTGCCTCCCTGGGCGGCTCTCCCGCCCTGGGACTGGGCCAGGGGCTGACCCCCCAGGACAAATGGAACAAGTACGATGGGCACAGTTTGCTTTTTCTTTCCCTGTTTTGTTTCGAACCTAAGGAAGCAGGTCTGAGAAGACGCCAGGAGCAGGGCCGCCCTCCCCGGAGACGGGCGGGCGGGCGGGGGAGAGCGGGGCGCCGGGGGGACCCCGTCACACGGCGGTGCGTGTGGGCGTGCTGGGCTGGTTCAGCCGCAGCGTTTTACACAACCAGCCGGCGAAGTCCACTTCTTCTACCTCGGACCGCTTGATGAAGGTGTGGTTCTGGAAGGGAAGGAGGAGCCCGTCAACGACCCGGCCCGGCGGGCCGTCTGAAAGCGCCCGGGACGCGGGCAGGAGGCCGCTCCGTGCCCGCTCGC